AGCTTGCTGGCAGCTGGAAGTTTGCTGGGGCCCCTTTGGCTGTGGCTCTCAACAGAACTCAGAGGCACTCTACTACCGAGCTACAGTGCAGACTTTTTTTTTCATTTTGAAACTGGGTCTCCCTAGATTGCCCAGCCTGGCCTCAAACTTGAGGTCTTTGTGCCTTAGCATCCCAAGTAGCTGGGATTACAGGCATGTACAAGCATAGCAGGCAATTTTGTGGGATTTTTTATTTAGAAATGTACTGTGAATGTGCTTTAGTAATATGATATTCTTTATATATGTGTGTGCATGTGAGTATGTATTATATATACATATTTTTTAATTTTTATTTATTTATTTATTTATTTGCAGTGCAGAGAATTGAACCCAGGGCCTACTGCATAGTGGAGAAGTATTCTTCCATAAAGCTACACCACCAGTCTGATGTATTTGTATATTCTACACAGAGGTTACAATAAATTGCTTGTCTCTTATTTTGGTTATTTTGGGCTCTTTTTGCTATCATAAATAATGGTGCTAGTTAACTTATGTATTTAAAAGAACTTATAAACATATCTCTGATTTGATGCATACTGCTGGCACCAGACAGGGCCTGACAGGAAACAGCTGGTGCCATAAAATTGAAAGGAATTGAAAGGTGTCTAATAAAGGGAGGAGAAACAAAGACATAGCTGGGTGGAGGAAACCAGCCAGGGATGGTGGAGTGTGTTGGGGATATTATCACCCTCTGAATTATTCCATTCTTGTGTCTTTTTGTATTTCTCTTATTGTGAAGTCAAATATTTTTTATATTTTCTTTGTGACTTGCCTTTGCCTTGCGGGGTGGGGTTCATTGTTTTCTGCTTGGTTTGTGGAGCATTTTCTATCATAACCATTTAATTGTTGGTTCATTTCCCTCAAATACTTTCAGTAAGTTTATTTTTTTATGGGTGTTTTTTCTTGTTATAATATATAAGACTCCAAAATTTCTTGTTTGGTTGTTTGTTTAGTACCAGGGATTGAACTCAGAGTCACTTAACCATGGAGTATATCCACTGCCCTTTTTATTTTTCTGTCATGCTGAGGATTGAACCCAGGGCCTTGGGCATGCCAAGGAAGTACTCTACCAACTCACCTGTATCCCCAGCCCCTGCCCTTTTTATTTTTATTTTAAGACAGAGTCTTGTTAAATTGCTGAGGCTGACTCCAAACTTGAAATCCTCCTGCCTCGGCCTCCAAAATCACTGGGATCACAGGAGTATGCTACCATACCCAGCCTCAAATTTTAACTTAGCCACTTCTGTTTTATAATTATGCCACTTTCAACAAGACTATAAATAGAACTTGTAATCTATTTTAGACTATATTTTTTTTAACCTCTAATGCTTATCTTTTAGGGGACTGCTGGGGATTGAATCCAAGGCATGTGTATACCACTGAGCTACACCCTTAGCCCCTGTTCTTATCTTTTTAACCAGAGATATAGTTATAGCTTTTTTTCATTTTTTTTTTAAGAAAGAGAGAGAGAGAATTTTAATATTTATTTTTTAGTTTTCGGAGGACACAACATCTTTATTTTTATGTGGTGCTGAGGATTGAACCCGGGGCTGCACGCATGCCAGGTGAACGCGCTACCGCTTGAGCCACATCCCCAGCCCCAACTTTTTTTCATTTTAACCATTGAAAAAATTGAATATGATTGCTTCTCAAAAAAAATTATATATATATATATATATATATATATATATATATATTTTTTTTTTTTTTTCTGGTAGTGGAGATTGAACCCAGGATTATTTTACCTCTAGGCTACATTCCTAGGCCTTTTATTTTGAGATAGGGTCTCACTAAGTTTCTGAGGGCCTCACTATGTTGCTGAGGCTGGTCTCCAGAGTCACTGGGATCACAGGTGTGTACCACTGCACTCAGCTAAAATATTTAAACTTTTTTTTTTTTTTTTTTAGACAATAAGTATCATTATGAATCACTGCATGGCCTGACCTTGTGGTCCTCTATTATGGCTTCAAAGTAGGGAATGTGACTCTGCTTTCTTTGTTTTTCTTTTCTTTCTTCTTTTAAAGCAAATTCATCTTTTAAGCATTGCAAATACATCAACACTTGCCTGAGCCTTGGCAGACATGGCCTGACTCAAGACATCAAGTGAGCCAGGTAAGGAGGTGCACTCCTATAATCCCAGAGGCTCGGGAGGCTGAGGCAGCAGGATGGAGAGTTCAAAGCCAGCCTCAGCAAAAGTGAAGTGCTAAGCAACTCAGTGAGACCCTGTCTCTAAATAAAATACAAAATAGGGCCAGGGATGTGGCTCAGTGGTTGAGTGCCCCTGAGTTCAATCCCCAGTAGCGCCCTCCACCAAAAAAAAAAAAAAAAAAAAAAAAATTCAAATGAAGTCAGAGAGTTATTTCAAAAATCACCTTTAAGATGTTCAAAATGGACTAAATAATGGAAAAATAGATTGAAAAGTTGATTTATAGAATACAACACAAAGATATAAAATGATATATGAGCACAGGTGTGGGGCTAGTCACTCTGGTTTGACCCAACTTCACCATGTACAAGCTTAATAATGAGAAAAAACAAACTGTTTTCCTCTCTATACTCACACACTCTTCATTTCTTTCTAGTATATATTTGATCCCACAGGTTAAGGACTCAGTCCTATAAGACACCCACACTCCACATGCCAATCACAGATCAAGGCCTCCTGACTTCTGCCCACTGCCTCTGATTGGGGTTCCCACAGGTTCCCATCCTATTCCATTATTTGCTAGAATGGCTGAAAGATCTCAGGGAAAATCTTAAGTTACCAGTTTATTATAAAGGATATTTCAAAGGGTATAGAATAGGCAGAGTGGAGCCTAAAGATACTATTCAACAGTAATTATGTTCAATTAAAATTATATCATCATCTCTTGATATCTGAGGGGGATTGGTTCCAAAACCCTGAAGCTACCAAAATCCAAGGATGCTCCCAACCTTCATATAAGACAGTCTAGTGTCTGCATGGCAATGTGTGGCAATCCTCACATAGACCTTAAATCATGTCCAGATCATTTATTATGCCTAATACAATGTAAATGCTATGTAAATAATTGTTATACTGAATTGTTTAGGGACTAATGACCCAAAAAACCACCTCTATATATGTTCAGTGCAAACACAATGTCATATGGAAATACCTAGTCTTTTGAGGAAGTTCCATATCAATTTTCATAGTGATTGTACTAATTTACAATCCAACTGTGTAAGAGTTCCTTTTTTTCACGCATCCTCTCTAGCATTTGTTACTATTTGTATACTTGATGACTGCCATTCTGACTGGTCTGCGATGAAATCTCAGTGTACTTTTAGTTTGCATTTCCCTAATTGTAAAGGATGTTTTATATATTTGTTGGCCATTTGTATTTCCTCTTTGGGGAATTATCTGTTTAGTTCATTTTCCCACTTATTAATTGGGTTATTTGATTTTTTTTGGTATATTTTAACTTCTTTACATATTCTAGGTATTAATCCTCTATCAGAACAGTAGCTAGGAAAGGTTTTCTCCCATTCTGTGCATTCTCTCTTCGAATTCCCAATTGTTTCCTTTTCTGTGCAGAAGTTTTTAATTTGATGCCATCCCATTTGTTAACTGTTTGCATTATTTCCTGAGCTTTAGGGGTCTTATTGCATGTGCCTACATGCTGGAATGTTGATCCTTTGTTTTCTTCTAGCAGTTGCATACTTTCTGGTCTAATTCAGAGGTCTTGGATCATTTTGAGTTGATTTTTATACAGGGTGAGAGAGAGTCTAGTTTCATTCTTCTACATATGGATAATCAGTTTTCTCAGTACCATTTATTTTAAAAGGCTATCTTTTCTCCCTTGTGTGGTTTGACACCTTTGTCAAGAATCAGATAACTGAAGATTCATCTCAACACAACAAAACCTTTGAAAGGTGCAAATTCTAAGATCATGGGTAATTCAATGTTTATCCCTGAGAGCTCACCCTTTGGAGATTATTTTAAGGCAGAGGACTAAGGAGAAAAGAAAAAAAAAAATTTTTTTTCGGAAATATATCTTGGCCCCAGTATAAATTAGAGAACAGAAATTTGTCCTGCAAATGGGAAGAAAAATGGACAGAGATCTGATTTTTCCCACTACTATCTTAAAAAAAAAAAGTCCAGTTATTCAAGTGTTCTTACCTTAAGCAATTATTTAAGAATTAGCTCTCAAAGTCACTTAGGACTAAAGGTCAAAGAGATCTCTCCCTTTAGAGAGTCCTAATGAGGTGATCCACAGTAGGGATAATGGTTGACTAGGATCTACCTCATGGCAATGCGTGGCAACTGAACCTGGTCAGTGTCAGCCATGATTGGTCCATGCTGTCCTGGCTGTCCCCAAGGGCAGAGGTCTCCCCCATATCTGTTCTCTATTCCATAATCTACTGAAAGACCCCAGCCCAACAACGTCAGGCCTAGTTGCAAAACCACCGAAGCATGTCACAAACCTGTTTTTCAGATAATTAGTTAGGTGTAACCGGTTGGGAAAGGACAAAGGACCAGGTCCCAAGGCATGCCTGAATGAGCAGGGACAGGAGGACCAGAGTGCAAATATGGAGCTTTTACGTGGTTCTTTTTCAGTAACATACAGTGAAAAACAACTTTGCCCTTTAGGTAGCCTATATGCTGGGTTTAAAATTAACCTATTGTTTACCGCGCGCGAAAACTGCCCCTTTACCCTATAAAAATCTCTGTATCCCCAAGCCCGGTGTGCCAGCTTACCAAAGCTCCGGCTGAGGTTCTGCTGGGCACCCGCAGGCGCCTGTGTCTCAATAAACCCCTCTTGCTTTTTGCAGCCAGTGTTTGGTGTGATTCTCCTTGGATAGGGAAACGGGGGTCTTTCACTACTACTTCCTGTGTCACACAAAAGACAACTTGTGCAAAACTCTGTTTTGGTTTCTGGAATTCTAAACCTGGCATGCACTTTGCTTGGTGAGCAGCTGTAGTTTTCTTGTCCCCTGCTTGTGGACACCCAACACCTAGTTTACGCAAACTGTAGGAAAAAAAAAATTGAAAGTTTCATCTTAGTCTCTTTTCCTTTGTTGCTACTTGGTTCTATTGAGGACTCTCTGGAAAGTAACCTTGTAACCCTCCTTTTGACTTTTGCTCCAAACAACAGAACAGCCTCTGACAAAGAGTTCAAAAACAATTAGAAAGAAATTATATTAAAAAGCTTTGGAAAACTCAAAGGATTCTTTTTCAGTTTGAGTGGGTATAGAAAGAGCTCTTTGCCTTCTCACTGAAGGGCTACATCTGAGTAAAAACAAAATAGATTACAAGGATTTATCTACTAAATCTCCAAATATGATTTTCCTAACCCTTTACAAAAGAAATTTCCATTTGTAAGCGTGCCTTCTTCCATGGATTAGCTCTTAAAACAGGAAAAGCTATTAAGCCAGCATAACAAGCCCCATCTTTATATGTTTTTGATAGACCTTT